TTCTTACTGGTTCTTAGTTGGTTATGTGTGTTGCAAATGTCTCCTCCCACTGTATGACTTTTCACACATTTTATGGTGTGTTTTGATGAACAGAAGTTCTGAATTTAAAAGTAGTCACATTTGTTCATCTTTCTCTTTATAGTCAGTGCCTTTGTACCTTGTTTAAGAGCTCATTCCTGAGTTGCTTGACCCAGGGGCTAAGGACTATGGTCTCAGTGGAAATCAAGGTCAGTTGGCCATAACACAGTCCATAAAGACAACGTTCTACAGTACACTTTCAAGAGTAGAGACTGGGAGTAGGATGCAACTACTGGTCTCACCCTGTTCAGGGAAAAGAAGAGTGCAGAAAATCAAAGAGGGATGGAAACAGTCAGTCCAATCAATGAATGGACCACACAAACATCAGTCTCCATGAACCTGAAACCAGAAGAACTAGATGGTGCCTGGCTACTGCTACCAACTTCTCTGAAAGGGATCACACTAGAAGATCCTGGATAGAGTGAGAGAAAGTGTGAAACAAAACTCAAAGTCATAAAAAAGACAAAGCTTATTGGTCAGATAAAGACTGGTGGAATCCTTGAGACTATGACCCTTAGTCACCCTTCAGGTCTGGAAATGAACTCACACCAAACTCCATTTTCAGCCAAACAATAGACAGGTCTGTAAGGGAGCAATAACACTAGGGAAGTACACACACCTTAATAATCAACCATTTGAGATAAAAAGAAAAACATTTACCCAATGACAAAATTCAGAAGCATTAGGAAATAAGGAGGGATGGGAACAGAAAAGACAAGGAGGAAGTAGGGTAAGTGATAGAATATTGTTGAGATTGCAATCAGTCACATGAAACAAAATGTATATGAATTGTTGAATGGACAACTGATGTACTCCATAAACCTTCATCCAATTCACATTAAAAAGTAAAAAAGAAAGAAAGAATATCAATCATTCCCTATACCATGATCCTAAAGATGTTGTTGTTGTTAGGCGCTGTTGAGTTGGTTCCCACTCATAGCCATCCTATGCACAACAGAATGAAGCATTTTCTGGGCCTGAAGCATCCTCACACTTAATATGTTTAAGCCCACTGTTGCAGTTGCTGTGCCAGTCCATCTTATTGGGGTTCTTTCCCCTTTTGCTAACCTTCAACCTTTTCAACCATGATGTCCTTTTCCAGGGATTGTTCGCTTCTGACAACATGTCCAAAGTATGAGAGACAAAGAGTCACCATTCTCGCTTCTAAGGAGCATTCTTACAAACAAGATAGATTTATTTGTTCTTCTGGAAGTCCATTGTATTTTTAGTATTCTTCAACAACACCATAATTCAAATGCATAGATTCTTCTATGGTCCTACTTATTCACTGTCCAACTTTCATATGCATATGAAGCTATTGAAAATGCCATAACTTGGGTCAGGTGCACCTTAATTCTCAAAGTGGCAGCTTTGATCTTTAAAGAAGTCTTCTGCAGCAGATGTGTTTAATACTACACATTATTTGATTTCTTGACTACTGTTTCCATGAGCTTTGATTATGGATCCAAGTAAAATGAAATCTCTGGCAACTTCAATCTTTTCTCTATTTATCATGATGTTATTTATTGATTTAGTTATGAGAATTTTTGTTTTGTTTACATTGAGGTGCAGTCTATACCAAAGGCTATAGTCTTTGATCTTCATCAGTGTTTCCAGTCCTCTTCACTTCCAGCAAGCAGGGTTGTGTCATATGCATTTGTTAATGAGTCTTCCTCCAATCCTAATGCCACATTCTTCTCAGACTGTTTGCTCAGCATACAGATTGAATAAACATGGTGAAATTATACAACACTGACACACACCTTTCCTAATTTTAAATCATTCAGTGTCCCCTTGTTTTATTAGAACAACTGCCTCTTGGTCTTTGTACATGTTGCTCATTAGCACAACTAAATTTCAGAATACCCATTATTTGCAATGTTATCCATAGTTTGTTATTGATTCACATAGTCAAAAGCTTTTGCATAGGCAATAAAGCACAAGTAAATGTCTTTCTGGTATTCTCTGCTTTCAGCCAAGATCCATCTATGTCAGCAATGATATCCCCTGTTCCACATTCTCTTTTGAATCTGGCTTGAATTTCTCACAGCTTTCTGTCAATGTACTGCTGCAATTGTTTGAATTATTTTCTGTAAAATTTTTCTTGCATGTGATACTAATGATATTGGAAGATGATTTTTACGTTCTATTGGGTCACCTTTCTTTGGAATGTGTACAGATATGGATCTCTTCCAATGGGTTGGCTAGGTAGATATCTTCCAAATTCTTGGCATAATTGAGTGAGCGCCTTTAGCAATGCATCAGCTTGTTGAAACATTTCAATTTGTTATTCCATTAATTCCTAGAACCTTGTTTTTTGCCAATAGATCACGAAGATATAAACTTATAATCGGTGCCTTATTGATGAAAATTTATGTTGTTTATGGTGTTTTACTATTACAAATGGTTGCTACATAGGGCCTGCTTATATTATGTATTCTTGTATCATTGCTTTGGAAGAAAAGTGTGTTGTTGTACTTTGAAAAGACCTCAGTCATTGAAAACCCCATGGAGTGGAGTTCGACTCTGGCTCAATTGTAAGTGATTTGATGATTTTTTTTTTGGTGTATAAAATAAATTGCCAGCAGAATTTCTACATCAGATAACATTTAAATTTTTGATAGTTTCTTATAAATATCATTTAGAAGACTTCTTATGCTATATTGCAACTATAGGTCAATGTTTATCACCTATAAAGAGATGATATCATAACTTCTCATATGTTTTTTTAAAATCTTTTATTGTGAATTATGTGATAGTTTACATGGGAGAACATTAGTTTTACATTCATCATATTGTATATCGTTTCATTGCATGGTTACAATCCCCTCCATGCATCATCAACCAACCAGAGGGTATACACTACAAGCTTGCCCCCAAGTCATCAGCACACAGCCCCTCTCCCTCTCTGTGTCTAAAGTCCCCAGCCACTCCCTCTCTTCACACCATAATCTCTGCCTCCATCTCAGGCATCACTGCCTCTCTGGGTAGGGTCCCGTTCACCTCTCTTCTCCCTTCATGGTCCCAGGGACCTCTGCTCCTAGACTGAAAAGTTAATCACTCCCCTCTTTGCTACAAAACGTCTACCTTTACATTTCCAACCTTCACAATCAGTCCTGATAACAACTATTCACTATTGTATGACAAGAGACCTATCCACATTTCCTTTCATCAGTCCCGCCTAGACAGATTGGATACTACTCAGTGGAGATTCTACCTTCCTCCACACCCTCTGGATCTAGATTCCCTCTTGAAAGCTTGTAAGCCAGTCACTTGTTGCCTTTGTAGCCCCCATATTTTGGGTAGCCAATGTCCTAATATGGTTTTGGTAGCTAAAATGTAAAGCAAAACTGTTCTTTAAAAAGACTGTAATTGGGCTGAATTCATTAACACAGTTGAATTCAGCCAGTAGACATTGCGAGAAGGGTTGCCTGGACCAGTTTGAAGTCTAGAACTTGAGTGCTGAGATCAGCCTGCATCACAGAATGAGTCTTCTTCAAGGACACAGCTTATCACGACTTCCAAAAGAGCATCCTAATAAGTTTCGGAGTGGTAAATGTTGGATCAGTAACGCCTAAAGTTAACTTGAAAAGATGGCAAATTGGACTTGATGTTGATATTTTTAGCTTGTAAAATCTAAAAATACATTTGTTGACAGGATATATTATTATACGAAAAAGAGGGCTCCAAAAATATGTGTCCAATTATTAAGATAATGAGATATTCTTCTTTCATCTTAATCTGCCTTTTTCTTATTTTTCCACAATGAAAACAACTTGCTTCCATAATAATAATTTATTGCTATATGCTTATAACACATAGACTACATTTAGCTTTTAAAGTCAAGATGCTGGAGTAAAAGTCAGCCCATAACAATGTTGTATACAAAAGCCTATCTTATTAACAATATAATTGGGTAATTTAAAATTTATAAATGAAGCCTTTTATTTTGATGTAATTGGAGATTTACAAGCAACTATGAAAAAATAATAATACAGAGATGAGATCATATTTACGATATCACAACCAGGCTGTTGAGGCTGATGCCTTCCACCTATCCTTTTCCGGTTCCTCAAGTTTTACAGGTACAAAGTTGTGATGGAGTCATGCTGTGATGCTGTAGGATAAACACTGGACCTCAAGGTTGGTTTGAACCACAAGGTCGGTGGTTCAAACTCACCTGCCAATCCTCAGAAACCCTATAACGGGTCACTATGAGTCAGAACAGACTCCGTGGCACTTAACAATAATTTGTGATAGTATATGTGTGTGTATGGTGTGGCACTGTAAAATAAACCCTGGACTGCAAGGTTGGTTTGAACTGCAAGATTGGTAGTTCAAACTTACCAGCTATTCTTTGGAAACCCTAAACAAGGTTGCTATGAGTCAGAGAAGGGCATAATGCTTGGTAGAAGGGCGTACTACTTGGTAAAGTGGAGGGTAGGTGAAAGTAGGAAGGCCTTCAACGACATGGATTGGCACCATGGATTTAACAATGGTTCAAACATAGCGACAATTGTGAGGACGAGCAGGATCGGGCACTGTTTAAATTTGTTGTGCATAGGGTTATTGTGTAGGAATTGAAACTGACTCCACAGCACCTAATGACAGCAAATCGGAACTCAGGGAGATTCTATGGTACAGAGGGAAGTACTGAAGTGAATAGCCAATGGTCGGTCAGGTGGCTACGGTTAGGAAGCTGCAGTGTGACCAGTGAGCTAGGCCAGGGGTCGCTGAGCGGCCAAGTCAATCCATTAGTGAGTCCACCCAGAGCTGAGAGGAGGAATACTCAGAGTCCTGACTTCCGGTCTCATAAGACCGGCCTGCCCTTTCCCCAGCGTTTCCCTCACCAGAACCGAGCGCAGGGGCGGGAGCGGCCGCGAGGGGGCGCCATAAGAAGGCCTGAGCTACTGGCAGGGGCTATGGCGTCCCAGGGCGGTCCCCTCAGCAGCGGCGAAGGCAACGGCGATGACATCTCCCTGGCTGTCCTGGTTTTGCTCCTACTCCTTCAGCCCGGGCTTAGCCAAGGCCAGGCGGGAAGGGAACGGGCACAGGGCTGGTCAGCGCGGCGCTCCCCTCCCCTTACGCCCTCAGGCAGCGACCTCGAGGACCAGAATAGTCCAGCATCAGTCGGAGTTCTGCCGGCCTGGGCTTCTGGATCGGGTGGGTCTGCAGGGGAACCTTCTTTGTTGTTGGTTACCCCAGATGACTTCTGTAGCACTCTGTCAGCCTCAAATACACCATAACCAATACGGGACACAAGATCACCAGCATTTACTAATTCAGATGGTTTCCTGGCCAGGGAAGTGGGACTTTTTCTCTGGAGGAGGAGGGTCTGGGGGCAGGAGTGCCATTCTTTCCAAGAGGTGTGAGTGGACCCTACCCTGAATTGCCTGGGAATCTGAAGGAGTACTGGTGTGGCACTGTGGGTTAATGGGCCAACTGAAAAGTAGGTTTGAACCTCAAGGTGGGTGGTTCAAGCTCACCATCTGCTCCTCGGAAACCCTACACAAAGTCGCTATGGGTTGGAACTGACTTGATGGCACATAACGACAACAACTGAAGGAGTAGAACTGGGTATTCTAATGGGTCCATGGCTCTGCTCTGAGCAGCTCTGGTGGTGATGGTGGTGGTGGTAGGGGGTGTGAGAGAGGGGAGGAGAAGGCAGAAGCTTTACTTTCAGTTACCTCTCTCACTGACCTGCTCCAGAATGTGGCCATCGGAATATGCGGATAGTTGGTGGAATGCCAGCTGCAGAGAAAAAGTGGCCCTGGCAGGTGAGCCTGCAAACTGATGGTCATCATATATGTGGAGGCTCCCTCATCAACCATTGGTGGGTGCTGACAGCGGCCCACTGCATATTTGGGTAAGTGTTTGAAGGTCAGGACTTGGTCAAAGTGTGTGACTTGAAGACAATTCTGTACTCCTTCCTATTCTGCTTCCTCAGAGTGGTGATCATAATCACTATTCTGAGTGATAGGAGATGTTAAAGCTCTTGGTAGGCTAGAAAGTCAAGATCCCAAACCAAGTTGCAAACCACTGTTGATAAACCTTCAAGCAAAATGGCATAAAGAAGGAGAAATCCCAGTTGCAAGGTGGTGTGTGAGTAAACATTTACAATGGGAAATATCAAAAGGGAAGAGGGTGTAGTAGAACAATTTGGCTAAACCTGTGATTCTCAAATATGTACTTGCAAAACTTGTTAAAGACAGATTGCATGTGTCCAACTCCCAGAGTTTTTGATCCCGTGAGTCAGGTGTAGGACCTGAGAATGTATATTTCTTATAAGCCCTCAAGTGATGTTGCTGCTTCTGATCAGGTGTCACATTTTGGGAGTGGTCCAGAATGATCAGGGATCTGGGGAAGATGATGGTTTAGAGGGAGGGAGGTGGCTCTTTTTCTCTCATGGGAGGATGGGAACAGGCTGGGAAGCACTTGGCAGATGTGAAAATAGAATGTAGACCCTGTCGGATCTCCTTACAGACATTTTGAATACGTGGCGAAGATGGGAGATGTACACTTGCATCATGAATCAAGAATGGCAGTCATAGTCCCAGTTCGGGATATTATTATCCATAGAGATTATGATAGTGTTGGAAGAATCGTAAACGATATTGCCCTCGCTCTGCTCGAGTTTCCTGTGAATTACTCCTCCCACATCCAGCCCATCTGCCTCCCTGGAAAGGACTTCCTGGTGCAAACTAACACAGCTTGCTGGGTGACCGGATGGGGCAAACTAAAACCCATTGGTGAGACTGTGAATAAAATAGCAAACTCAAACCAGGAAAGAGGCTGTCTTGTGCCCTGGGATTGGCCTGCAAGATAAAGTGGGAGGCAGGGATGTGGGGGACAGGAAGCATATTTTCTAGCAGGTAGGTAAGGAGGGTGGGGTTAGGGTTAGGGTTAGTCTTGTTTGGGTGGGGAGCCTCCTGTCCCTGGGATATAGACAGAGGCAGAGGGCCCCTGTCTGTGAGGCTGGATTTGGTACCTTTGGGGGTGCTACCTGACCTAGAGTCTTTGATCCTCTTCTGGAGAGTAAACACACTTTAATGATGCATAGGTAAGGAGCTCTGGTAGCATAGTGGTTACGAATCGGGCTGCAAACCTTAAGGTCAGTGGTTCGAAACTACCAGCTGCTCCGCGGGAGAAAGATGAGGCTTTCTACTCCCGTAAAGATTTACACCCTCGGAAACCCTGTACAGGGTCGCTATGGGTGGGAACCGACTCCACGGCGCATGACAACAACACAACAGGACTCCATCACTAGTGCTACTGCTACTCTGAGTGAGAGATGCTTGGTTAGGCTTCTCCTTCTGACCTGTTCATACTTCTCCTGTCTTGGTTTTGCTTCTCATCTTTGCCTCTCTACATATCAGTTTTGGATTTCACTTTTATCCTATGTCAAATGGGACCATAACTGCTCTGCCTTCTTCTAAGAGGTGTCTGTATGTGAATGAAATGTTTCAAGACCCAGTATGGGGAGCTGGTGGTTTCTGTACCACTTAAACAGATCCACTCATTCCTAAATTGTTTCTCCACAGATGACCCGAAGGTGGTACCTGTTCTTCTTCAGGAAGCTGAGCTAAACATTATTCGAGACAAGGAATGTAATAAGATTATCAAGAAAAAGTTGAAAACTGCTTTGAATTTGGTTGAAGAAGGGGCTATCTGTGGCTATAGTGACCAAGGAAAGGATTCCTGCCAGGTCAGTTCATGGGCCTCTTGCTATCCGTACATTTCAATTGCCCCCTCCAGGTTTCCTCACCCAGAGACAGTAGTTATTGTTGTCAAGTACCACTGAGTTGATTTTGACTCATATCCACCCTATGTACAACAGAACAAAACACTGGCTTGGTCCTATGTTGTCCTCACAATTGTTATGTTTAATCCCAGTGATGCAGCCACTGTGTCCATCCATCTTGTTGAGGGTCTTCTTCTTTTTCTCTGACCTTCAGCTTTACCAGGCATGATGTCCTTCTCCAGGGACTGGTTCCTCCTGAGAGTATGTCCAAAGTATGTGAGATTCTGAAGTCTTGCTGTACTCGCTTTTAAGGAACATTCTGGTTGTACTTTTCCAAGTCAGATTTGTTTTTCCTTCTGGTTTTCCATGGTACATTCATTATTCTTTGCCAACACCATCATTCAAATAGGTCAAATTGTCCAACTTTCACATGCATATGAGACAATTAAGATGTGCCTGCATGATCCAAGTCTTGATCACATGACTTGGGTCAGACACACCTTAGTCCTAAAACTGATCTCTTTGCTCTTGAACACTTTAAAGATGTCTTTTGAAGCAGATTTGCCTAATGCAATACGTTGTTTGATTTATTGACTGTTGCTTCCATGAGCATTGATTGCGGATCCAAGTAAAATGAAATCCTTGACAACGTCAATCTTTTCTCCATTTAACATGTTATTTATGGGTCCAGTTGTAAGGATTTTCATTTTCTTACATTGAGATGCAATCCATCTTGAAGGCTATAGTGTTTGATCTTCATCAGTAAGCATTTCAAATACTCTTCCCTTTCAGCAAGGAAGGTTGTATTGTCTGCATATCACAGGTTATTAATGTGCCTTTCTCCAACCCTGATGCCACATTAATACATATGGTGAAAGAATACAATTATGAGATACACCTTTCCTGATTTCAAACCATTCGGTACCCCCTTGTTCTGTTCTAATGACTGAGTCTTGGTCTATGTACAGTTTCTGCATGAACACAGTGAAGTGCTCTGGGAGTCCCATTCTTTGCAATGTTAGCCATAATTTGTTGCAGTCCATGCACTTGAATGCCTTTGCATAGTCAGTAAAGCACAAGTAAACATGCTTCTGGTATTCTCTGCTTCCAGCCAAACTCCATCTGATGTCTGCAATGATAACCCTCATTCCACGTTCTTTTCTGAATCTGGCTTGGTTTTCTGTCAGTTATCCAGCAACAGATGACGTTCTTGATGCTGCAACTGCCTTTGCATTATCTTTAGCAAAATTTTACTAATGTGTGATATTAATGATATTGTTCAATAATTTCCGCATGCTGTTGGATTACCTTTCTTTGGAAGGGGAGCACAAATAATGGGGTCTCTTCTAATCAGTTGGCCAGCTGTCTTCGCGAGTTTTTTCTCAGAGTTGAGTTAGTGCTTCCAGCACTCTTATCAGCTTGTTGAAACATTTCAATAGGTTCACTCCCCTTGGTTTTCACCAGTGTCTTCAGTGCAGCTTGGACTTTTTCCTTCAATATCATTGATTCTTGATTATATTCTACCTCCTGAAATGGCTAGTGCCAAGCAGTTCTTTTTGGTACAGTAAACTCTCTGTATTTCTTCCATCCTCTTTTGATGCTTCCTCTATCGTTCAATATTTTACCCATGTTGTTGAGTCAAGTCGGTTCCAACCCATAGCAACCCTGTATAGGGTTTCCTAGGAGCAGCTGGTGAGTTTGAACAGCTGACCTTGTGGTTCAAACCAACTTTGCAGTCCAGCACATTAACCCTCAGTGCAATGCAAGTATTCCATACTCATTTTGTCCATAGAATCTGTCAATATTGCAACCTGAGGCCTAAATTTTTTCTTCATTTTTTTCAGCTTGAGAAATGCTGAGCACATTCTTCTCTTTTGGTTTTCTAACTCCATATTTGCACATTTCATTGTAATACTTGTAATTTGTTTCTGGACTGCCCTTTGAAATATTCTCTTGAGCTCTTTTGCTTCCTTATTTCTTCCCATTGCTTTAACTTTTTTCTATGTTCAAGAACATGTTTTACTCTCTTCTGACATCTATTTTGATCTTGTCTTTCTTTCCTATCTTTTTAATGACCTTTTGCTTCCTTCATGCATGTTGCCCTTGATGTCATCCTACAACTTGTCTGACCTTTGGCCCTTATTGTTCAGTGAGTCAAATCTGCTCTTGAGATGATCTCCAAATTCAGGTGGGTTATACTCAAAGTCACAGACTCAAGACAGTTGGGCTTGGGTTATTTGACGACTTACTGTTGACTGTTTTTGCAAGTTAAGGAAACTCCTGGGGACAAGTCATCTAAGATCTCCTGGGTTGGCCTGCTTTACCTGCAGAAGACAGCTGTTATTGTTGCCCTGAGAAGGGAGTAGGAGATACGGGCAGGCATTGCCTTCTCGGTGACAGGCAATGAACTCTGGGGAGCACTTGGTTCATTTTTTTTTTTTTTTTCCTGACTACGTAGGTGTTCTTTTCTGTTTGTATCCACTTCTTTTGAGTATATACACCATTTTTATTATTAACATATTTTAGTTCTCAGATCTTGTAGATGCAGAAACCACGATCTGCCAGGGCCGTGGGACCTGGGGAAGATCTGGTATACCTGCCTCCCAGCACCTTGTAGTGCCGTCAACCTGCTCTGTGTGGATCCTCTGTCACTCCTGCGGTTTGTTTCTTTCTCTTTCTCCAGGGAGATTCTGGGGGACCCCTGGTCTGTGAATTTAACCACACCTGGATGCAGGTTGGGATCGTGAGCTGGGGCATTGGATGTGGTCAAAAAGGAGTTCCTGGAGTTTATACAGAAATTAGTTTCTATAAGGACTGGCTCATCCGTCAGTTGAACCAAGCTTCCTCTCTGAACCCAGCAGCCTTTCTCCTGCTCCTGCTGCTCCTGGTGCCGGCCCTGGGATCTTGGTGACCCTGTGACTGTCCCTGCACCCCCCTATTTCTGAGTCTCGCACTTCACCTCTCCCTCGATCTCCTCCATTCCTTGTCCTCAGATTCTGGTTAGATCCCTTGGCAGGGAGGCTGAAGCCCAGAAAGTGCCCCAGCCTGGTGTACTGGTGACCTGCTTAAGCCTTGACTGTGCCCCCAAACTCTTCACCAAAGCTCTGCCTGGTGGGAAGCAGAGGGGTAACCTGCCAGGTGGAGCATGGTGCTTATTTGACCTTTTTGAGAGCACTGACTAGAGAAAAGAGGCTTCAATGACTCTCATCGGCAGTGAAACCGCCAGTAGATTCTGCTTCTGGTTTCAGGGCTCTCCCAGTCAGCTTGGGATTATTCAGAGAGAATGATGCAGGTGTCACCATGCCTCTGTTGAGGTGTGAGGTCTGAGATGTCTGTATCTGAGGCAGTTGTCTGGGGCTGTGAGAAGTTCCCTGTACCCCCAGTGTGGATCCACTGTGAGCGGGCAGCCTCTACCACACAAGCTCTCTTGAGGCATCCTAATTTTGGAACCCCCTTTCTCAGTACTCTAGAGCCCACATCTAGGGACACCTTCAATTGTGTTGAGGCATATGGAGTGAAATTTAAGCTGTAAATGGAATAAATACATAGAGAGTTGCCTGTGTGTTATGCATCTCTGTTAATCTGTGGGGGTGGGGTTGCATATAACACCCTGATGAGAAGTCATTTCCTATTCAGCTAAGGACTATCTATGGTGGCCACTACACTCTAGAAGATCCAAAGATGAGGCGCCTGCCTACCAGGTGTAAATCTGATAGATGCCTTTAGCCAATGGGGCCTGTTGCCGGTGTTCCTGTTATAGCCATCAGCATCTCTTCAGTTGGGAGTCTTGTAGCAACCTCTACAGCCATGAGCAGGGGAGAATGTGTCAGAAGCTGGGGCATGGCACAGTCATACCCACATCTCTTAGTACCTCTCCTTACTGCCCTGACTGATGTGCGACACCAGGGGCTGGGCCTTGAGCTCAAAGAGCTGACTTCTCACAGAAGGTCCTTCTTCCCAGTTACCAGATGAAAGGGACCAGAGTCACTTGGTTGGCTGCTGATCATCTCTCAGCCTCTGTCCTTTGCCATGCTTGATTTAGTTCCCAAATATCAGTGGGCCTTGACTGGCAGCCTGTGATAGTGATTCCTGCTGTTCAAGGGAGGTGGCTCCACCTGCTCATAACCAAACCTGGGAAGTCCTGGGTCACTGTCCTTCTATAGGAATGGCCAGTTAGGCAGACTTGGGGCCCAAGACTTGCCGCACAGTTATTTGCAACTTTCTCTCTGAACAAGCTTCATTCTTTTTCATGTTGTTCTCTCTGCTGAAAATGTCATATGGCTCCCATTTCCTTGTTTCTTCCTCCTCATTAGCTAAGTATTCTCTATGCGCCTCTCCTGTCCATGCCCCTGGACTCTATGAAGCGCTTTCTTCAGGGCTCGCCTGATTGGTGGCCTTATGTCGATCTCCCCTCTGCTTGATAGTTTGTTATTCCAGGCCAGTAGACTCTGCTTACTCTCTATCTTCTATTTTATAGTACTAGGCTTGGAACAGAACTGGCATTCAGAGAATACTGGCGAATGAATGAATAAATGGCTGGAGGGAGAAATGAACACTCATCTCTCCTCTGTCGATTTTTACTCTTTCTCTCACTGCCCTCTTAGCTCATTGCTCCTCTTCCCTTTTCCTTTCCATGTTGCCTTTGAAGAGGGAAAAGCATAACCAGGTAGGCAAGGTTACAGGTCCTGCTGTGGAGAAAGTCCCAAACTCTGGGTATCTTTTGATCCAAAAATATTAGACCAGAAAGTTTCTTCTTCTTGGGGAACCGAAAATCAGTTCAAGCAGCTTGGCTACTGAGGAACCATCTTAGTAACCAGAGAAGACAAGCACATCCCCCCTGGAGAACAGAATACCAAGGACTAAGGAAATGTTAGCCATTTTTACTGTTCCCAACAAATGTCTTTGGACTACCTTTTATAAATCAGGCATTGGGCTGAAGTCATAAATCAAATATGACCCTTAGGTCAGGACTTGCTGGGTTGGAACTACTCTCTGAAAGAGATAAGTGACACAAGAAAAGAGGAAGAGATTGAGTAGCAGGTAATGAGTTCTACTAAAACTACTGGACATTAGTGGAAAAGGAAGGAAAAAAACAAAAAAACAAAGAGCTTTGGGCTTCTAGTCACGAAGACCAAGTGACACATAGCAATAAACATTCCTAGTGCTTTGATTGTGGTCTTCAAATACCATTTCCCATCAAAAGAAACCAGGGTTTCTTGGATAAATGTCTTTGAAAATGTCAAGGTTTGGGGCAGAAAAATGTATAAAACGAGCCTGTAATTTAATGTCATACTACACAGCAAAAATGCTACCAAAGGCTACTAGAATCATGCCAGCAGGACTGAGCAGTCAATCAGAAGACGCTCCCAATGTGTCTTGAATCTTAAGACACCCACCCCACCTGGACAAAGTCAGGACAATTGGAGTTTCAATTATCTATTGCTGTCCTAGTGTGGTGCTGTGGGTTAATGCGCTAGACTGTGAAGTTGGTTTGAACCACAAGGTCAGCTGTTCAAGTTCACTAGTCACTCCTAGGAAACCCTATACTATATCACTATGGGTCAGAACCAACTCGATGGTACTTAACAATAACAACATTGCTGTCTCACAACCACCCCAAAACTCAAGGCCTAAATCAACACAGCTTGTTATTTCTCACAAATTGTAGGTTGTCAGGACAGTGCTGCTGGTCACAGCTGAGCTCATTCCTGTGGGTACCCCCATCTGGTATCCCAGCCATGGCAGAATGTCACAAGATGGTGTCATTCACATGGTTGGTATTTATCTGGGACTGTTGTTGTTAAGTGCCATTGAGTTGGTTCCAACTCATAGCAACCCTGTATAGGGTTTCCAAGGAGCGGCTGGTGAGCTTGAACCATCGACCTTGCGGTTCAAACCAACCTTGCGGTCCAGTGTCTATCCTACAGAGCCACGTAGTGGTGCAAATAGTTAAGAGCTCATGTAGTAACTGAAGGGTTGGCAGTTCGAATCCCAGAGGTACTTTAGGAAAAAAGCCAGGTGATCTACTTGTGGTAAATCACAGTCATGAAGTCATCCTACGGCGTTCTGCTCTGCAACACTGGAGCTGCCCTGAGAATGACAGCAACGTACTTGACAGCAACTGGTTTGGTTTTGGTTTGGTAGCTAGGGTCCCACAATTCCCTATAAAGACCGCTCATCCTCTAGATCAGGTAGGTTCGGAACAGTGATTTAAGAGTGTGGAAGCAAAAGTTGCAGAACCTTACATCTACCACAGTCTGTTGGTCAAAGTATGTTACAAGGCTGTCCCAGATTCATTGAGGGTGGGGAAACACACTTCCCTTTTTGAGAGGATGAGTTGCAAAATATAGTGACCATGTTTTATAATCCACCACAGTTGTTGTTAAGTGCCATTGAGGCAGTTCTAACTCATAACAACCTTGTATAGGATTTCCAAGGAGCAGCTGGTGAGTTCTAACTGCCTTGCGGTTCAAACCAACCTTGAGGTCCAGTGCTTATATGCTACAGTGCCACATCAGGACTCCTTGTGATAGAAGGAGATGCAAAATACAGGTATAATAATTTCAATACATTGAGACTCAGAATATGTTAGAATCCAAGATCCTTATCAAAATTTTCTAGTTAATAAAGATAAATGATACAATTAAAACGTATTATTCTGCCCCCAATGAATTAGTAGATTTAAGCATAGACCATCAACAATTGGTAAAAGGAAAGACACCTAAACATGATGTATCTTTTAGTGAAAGTGAAATACCTACTATATTCTTGACAAGATTGAACCTGAGTCCAGATACTGATTTGTAGGAAATAGAGAAACTAGAGGAACACATTGAATTATGCCATGAATCCAGACTCTGGGAGACTCTACAGGTCAAACAGTTCAGTTTCTTCAACATGTAAGATGTCAGGGGATAAAGAGGAAAACTATAGATTAAGAATGTCTCAAAAAACATAACAAATACAAAGTAATCAGGCAAGACTACAACACAGTACCTAAGGATACATGTTTGGGTGATGAAACCATAAAGATACACAAGGAAGGGACTATATAAAAGCTAGGTTAATGGTTATATTTGAGCAGATGGAGGCAGCTGTATTGTGGAGGGCACATGGAGTAGGTCTACAAAGACTGACAGAGTTCTATTTCTTGACCTGGATTGTAGTTCCAAGTATGTTGTTGCTGATGAATGTATTTCAACTCATAGTGATCCAATAAGACAAAGTAGAACTGTCCCATAGGTTTTTCTATACTGTCAATCTCAAGTTCTTGTAGCGTAGTGGTTATGAATTGGGCAGTTAACTTCAAGGACGGCAGTTCAAAACTACTAGCTGTTTCGTGGGAGAAAGATAAGGCTTTCTGCTTCAGTAAAGATTTACAACCTCAGAAACCCTGTGTAGGGTCGCTATGGGTCGAATCGACTCCGCAGCACTTATCAACAACAACAATCTTTACAGGAGCAGATCTCTAGGTCCCTCTCCTGTGGAACCGCTGGATAGATTCAAACTGCCAACTAACGTTTCAGTTAGTAGCCAAATGGTTAAACAACATACCACCAAGCCTCCTTAATTACAAGCATAAACCAAACCAAAGCACATTGCCTTTAAAGCATTTCTCACTGGTAGTGACTCTATCACTAGAATGGCTCCACGAGGTTTCCAAGGCTGGAATCATTACAGAATCATTCATCTTTCTCCCATGGTGGGTTCAAACTGGTGACCTTTTGGTTAGCAGCCGAGCACTTAACTATTGTGCTATCAGAGCTCCTTAGATACAAGCATGTGGTGGTTAAGTGCTAATGAATTAATTCTGACTTGTAGCGACCCTGTATAGCATTTCCAAGGAGTGACTAGTGAGTTTGAACTGCCAGCTTTGTGGTAAAGCAAAGATGAGTACGCAGTCTAGTACTT